CCTCCACCTACTCTCTCTACCCCCCCCCCATCCACTCCTCAGAGAATAGGGTAAGGCACATTGCTTTGGGGAAGGTCCAAGGCCCTCCCTACTATATCTAGGCTGATCAAGGAGAATGGGTTTCAAAAAAGCCAGTACAAGCAGTCAGGATAAATCCCGGTGCCACTGCCAGTGGCCCACAGTCTGTCCCAGCCATATGACACCCACGTTCAGAGGGACTAGTTTGGACCTGTCCTGCTGGAGTTGATGAGCTCCCATTAGCTCAGGTAAACTGTTTCAGTGGAAATACCCATCATGGTCTTGACCTCTTTACTCATATTCTCACTCCTCCCGTTCTTCAACTAGACCTTAGGAGCTCAGCCTAGCATTTTTTTTGGGGGGGTGGGTCTGAGACATCTATCTGCCTAGTCTCAAAGTCATAGCACCAGGCATTCTATGCAGAAAAAACAAAAAACCTGTTATTTCTTTCTATCAAGCTGCAATAAAAAGGTTTGTTTTCCTTTTTATATTGTATTTAGGACCCACTATCCAGTTTGTTCTACTAGCCTGAGTAATGCAGAATATGGATAATGCATGAACTACAAGGAAATGATCTTTGTGTGCCAAAAGACTTAAAATTGAGATTTGCTCAATTCACTCAATTATCGGAAATTAGGTTCTGTACAAATATTAAGTTTCACTTCTATTGAGAGATACAAGAAATAGTATTTCCATGTTAGAAAGAGCTGAATTTTCCTAGCTGGTCAATTAATCTTGGATTGCTGACTATACATATTTTAAACCCACATCCTTTTGGGGTTTACAGATGGGGAGAAGTTACAATTAGCTTGTAAAATTGCGGCTTTGTATTGCCAAAAATGATCAGTTGGTTCAAATAATTTTCCAGTAGAGAAATCAAGAAATAATTTCCTCCCAGTCTCCTGAATTGCTCCTTCTAGAACTTTCCACTGCTTTGGGGTGCTCAGTTTAGGAGAAAAAGTAGTGATTTGTTGGCTCATTAGAGAATTTTATTTGCGGTAGAGAAGGTTGTCCTGTTGATTTAAAAAATTCTGAGTCTTTTTATTTGCTTTCTTGAGATGATTTTTTAACACACACACACACACACACATGCAGACATATTTATACAGGCACACACACACATAGACACACACACATCTTTTTTTGAGAAAAAGTAACAATAATTCCCAAGACACATACAAGTATACAAATGGTTAGAAAACTTTGAAAATAACTTTTAAGAACCTGGAGGCCCACCCAAACAACTCTAAATAGATATTGGGAGACTAACAGAGCAGAATCCCCCTTCTTAGAAAAGTAGATTATCAGAGAAATCGGTGTTAGAAAAAATTAAAATTTTGCCATGGGCTTTCATTCATTCAACTTGCAATTATTAAGCACCTACTGTGTGCCAAGACCCCAGCATGAGCAAGTCAGGGAGAAGGTCTTGACCACACAGAGTTTATTTTCTGGGGATATTGATCGCTAGGTAAAACATGGTGGTCTTGACCCTCAGGATGAATTCTTGCTGGTCCTTGCCAACTCAACCAGGCTTTTTCTTCAGAAACTGGAGATGATTTTGATGAATTGACCTGACAGTGCATGATACATCATATCTACTTGGGAGAATTTAATAACCCCAGAGAGTCCCCAAGGAAACATGAAAATTTCTGCATACCTTTATCCTAAGGGGATCATAGTAACAGAATGTGGCCGTGAGGATTTAGGGTTCTCACAGGCAGAGGTTCTGGAAAGACCTTTATCTCTGTTGAACCTTTCACCTACATTCACCATGGAAAGAGAAATCAGAGCAACAGAAATCTGGAGTGGGGACGAAAAGGGGTCTGTGGAAATGAATAGTTTCCTTGGGGAATGGGTGATTTGTTTCTCTAGGAGTGTAGTATTTACAATGTAAACATACCTGTAAAAAGTAACAGCTGTGGACCAAGTGTGGCAGGAAGTATTGTATATGCTTGGGAATTGTGGGAGGGAAAAGAGGTGACGGGGACTGGCTGCTCGGAGTTGTTCTTCGGTTGTCATCCGACAGCTGCCACGCTGTCCCCTGAGATTGTATCAGAGATGCAAATTTGAAGGGCTCAGACCCAGCTACTGAATCCCGAAATGCCAGCCTGTGTTTCCCTGAGACCTCTGAGTGATTCTGCTGGTCTAGACACCTGAGAACTACTGTTCTAAAACTGTGTGCAAATCAGTACACACACATTTATTTAGCTCACTTTTATCAAGCAGATGTTCTATATGGGTTGTATTGGGAGCTGTTGAACTTTATAATGTAACACATGACATATTTCATTTTGAATCTTCCTTTAAAATATCCTCGCAGTTAAAGGAAGCTGGGTTTTAAAGTTAATACCTAAAATGGGATCTATCTCAATGAGATAATTTTATATTAAATTAGGTGAGGGTAAGTTGAAAAAACATGCGCATGACATAACACACACTAAATATAGTGCATGTAATTTTTGCTTTTATGTGAAATGCATTTGTTTCCAGGTATATTTTCCTTAATTTTTCAGAAGAAGTGGCTAACTTACTGTTTCCTCATTTCAATCTGTAGGTGTGCATCAGATATAGAAGTATTGAAATGATAGAAAACTTATAACCACACCTAGGACCTCACTTTACCTTTTGGGAAGTTTATAATTTGTACCAAAATACAGTGACATTTTCATTTCTATGGGACAGAATCAGGCTTGACCTTAAGAAACGAGAAGTGATGGGGACAGGGAGAAGGCTCCCAGGCCTGACAACCTGAGTTTGGTGTCCTGGACCCACATGGTAGAAGGAGAGAACCATCTCTGGGAAGTAATCTTCTAGTTTCCTTATGTTTGTTATTACTCCAGAGTCTTTATTCCTACCCCAAATATGTAAATAATATTTTTTTAAAAAAATGCTTAGATCAATAGCTTGAAAGAATAGCATTCACTTATGATTCCAACCGTCTGAAGGCTGAGGCAAGAAGACTATGAACTTGATTGGAGCTTGGTTTCCACATTGAGTTTGAAGCTAGCCTTGGCAAAGTAGTTGACCCTTGTGTCAAAACAATATCCACAGCAAATTAGAATTATAGAACACATTGTGTCTTTTTACTGCTTGTCTGATCCTACCGACCTGAGTTAGAAAACAATTGCTTTGATGTTTACAGAAGCTATTTATTTTTGTTGTTTGTATAAATGGTGTGTGTGTGTGTGGGTGTGTGGGTGTGTATTGGCACACTTACATGCCAGGTGCATATGTGGCGGTCAGAGGACAACTGTATAGAAGTCAGTTCTCTCCTTTCATGTTTATGTGGGTCCTGGGGATCAAACTCAGGTTGTCAGGTTTACGTGGCAAGTAATTAACCACTGTGCCATCTCGACACCCCTCCCTTGAAGGCGACATGAAGAACTTCATTTTTCTGGCTGGTGTGCCTATTTGCTACAGCACATCTCAATCCCTCCTCTGAAGGTTTCCTAGTTCTGTGGGTGGAGGTTTTAGGGTACATTTGAATGTGCTCAGGAGCAAAGACACTGTGGGTCCTCCTCCTGTCTTGGACTCTGTCCCTGATAGCCATGGACAGCACACTGTCCCTTGCCCTAGTGTTTGGTAAGCGCAGCTCTCCTGCCCAGTGCCAATGTCTTGCGGGTCTTCGATTCACAGACTCCACTCCTTATAGATGATCAGATGCTCTCTTATGGGAGAGACTAGCTGTGAAGGCACTAACACTTTTGACAGAAACAAGGTGAATCATGTACCGACTCTTTCCCCGTGAAATGATGGCCTAGAAATGGCACCACTGGTGTCCCAAGGTTTCCAAGCCCTTCTTACAGCTTCTTTCTTTAAGAATCCAGATCTCGCGTTTATGGGAGAAGTGGATTGTTCATTCCTGTTCTGCCTCATTCTCTGATTCCCACTTCTCTTTCTAGTCATTCGCATACTAAGTCATAAAGCTCACCCCCTCCCTATTAATATAAAAAAGATGTAGGCTGCTTGGGGAGAAGTCATCGTAGGGTCAGCCTCAGGGTCTTTGGTCCTGTGCAGTCATGCAGCGTCTTGAGAAGGGTCTAAGCACTGGTTAATGCTGTCTTGAAATCTGTGATAACTTTTGAACAAGGGGCCTGCCTTTCCCTTTTTGCCCTGGGCTCCTGCAGTCAGGCAGCTAATCCAGACTGCTACCCTGCCTCAGCCAAGATTCAAACTTTGAACTTCACTTTAGGGATGGTTCACCGAACAGTGTCTCCCTTTTGGATTAGTTCTTGAGATTACCATTAATAAAACAGAAGTTCTCCTTAAAGCACTTCCCAGTGTCTGGAGATGAGAGATAATGATATTTTTATAGGACTGGCAGAGCCTATAGCATATGGGAATCTTGCAATAGTTTTCTATTGCCCGTTCTTTTTAGACACCCAGTCAAGTTTAAAATATTTTTAGTCACAACTTGTCTAGCATAAAGGTTAATAGCATATTATTTTAAAATTAAAATTTAAACTTAGCATACAAAATAAATGGGTTTCATTTTGGCATTTTCATACATGTATGCTGTTAACTCTCATTTGTCCCCTCTCATCATTAGTAAACAAACTAAAAGCTGGGTGTAGCGGCACATATCTGAAATCCCAGCACTTGGGAGAATGAGGCAAGATTTTTGAGTTTGAGGCCAGCCTGGGCTATGTAGGGAGACTGTGTTTCATTTATTACATAGACAAATGCTAAGCACAAGGCTGTGGAGATGGAATAAGACTAATCCTTATTTTCTAAGAGTTCAAAACAGCAGATATCCAGGGCAAAATTTTCTGGGGACGTGAGGGGGACTGCTTCAGAAAGAGAGAATGCAGGGGGATCATAAATATTATTTAATAGCCCTATAAAGGTATACTATATGGAGGGGCTTGGTGTCTTGAGAAGACATTGAGAAAGTACTTTAGGCTTCCAGTCACGGTGGCTGGGGAGAGTGGCTTTTTGATTTAATTTTACTACAGTTTTCTTCCCCCCTCATGTGTTTTTAGCCTCAGCGCCTCAGTCAGATGAAGGCTCGGACATCGACTCTGAACCTGACCTACCGCTGAAGAGAAAGCAGCGTAGAAGCCGGACCACCTTCACCGCCGAGCAACTGGAGGAACTGGAGCGGGCTTTCGAGAGAACCCACTACCCAGACATCTACACCAGGGAGGAGCTGGCCCAGCGGGCAAAGCTTACAGAAGCCCGAGTACAGGTACTGATGCCCAGACACTGGAGACATCTAGGAAGACACCCCTACCACCGTGGGGAGGTGGGGGGTCTCCTCTTGGGAAACATTTTTATTGTTTGTTTGGTGGTGAAGTTTCACTAAGTACCAGGCTGGTGTGGGCTCATAAGCCTCCTGCCTCAGCCTCCTGAGTGCCGTGCTTATAGATATACGACACAGCACCCAGCTGAAAAGTGTTCGAAGCCAAGAAAACCACACTAGTCATAGTGCTTAGTGAATGCATATCTGTAGACTTTGATTATTGCTTTGAATGTTCTGGTTATGACACATACACAAGTTCATTTCATTTTTGTGCATCCTGATGGTGTACCAGAAACTATATGGCTGTTGAGGGTGGTTCCCAGATTAATAGCAGACATATTTTGAGTGGTTATTTTGCACTAAGCACTATTTTAAGTCTTGTATTTCACATGGGTTAACTCATGAGTTATCACTAAAACCCTTGACTGACGTAGTTACTACCCCCAATCGATGGATAAGGAAATAGAAACTTCAGCTTGTTAAAAAATTATCTAAGCTAACACTGCTGCCTGATAGTATAGAAACCTTTGGATTCCATGTGCTTTGCCTTTCCATTAGGAAAATATGGAAAGTGCATACGGTAGTCCTTTCATTTGCGGACTGTACAGTCTGGAAGCAATTATATTATTTTAATAATACAATTATGATATCTGATTTTGGTTGTCAATTTGACACACCTAGGAAGAGGAAAGTGTCCGGTTGAGGAGTTGCCTTTATCAGATTGGCCTGTGGGTATGTCTGTGGGGCATTTTTTTGATTACTGATTGATGTAGGAGGGTCAAGCCACTGTGGGTGGTACCATTCCTAGGTATCATCCTCAGGTGGTCTAAGATTGGTCAAGAAAACAGGTGGAGCACGAGTCAGAGGAATCAAGCCAGTAAGCAAGGTTCCTCCATAGTCTCTGCTGTGGTTCCTGCCTCCACATCCATGTCTTGGCTTCCTTGGGCGGATGATGAACTGTAAAGCATAAAATGAAATAAATCATCTCCTCCCCAAGTTGCTTTTGATCGTGTTTTTCATGGCAACAGAAAACAAACAAACAAACAAACTAGGTCAATCATGTTTGATTCTCTTTTATCTTTTTACATGACTGTGTATGTGGTGTGTGTATATGTGTGTGTGTGTGTGTGTGTGTGTGTGTGATGTGTTTATGTTGTGCATGCATATGTGGTGTATGTATGGGGTGTATGTGTGGTGTATGTGTGTGCTGTGTGTGTGTGTGTGTGATGTGTGGTGTGTGTGTGGTGTGTGGTGTGTGTGTGTGTCACATGTGGAGGTCAGAGAACAACTTGTGGGAGTCAGTTTATCCTTCCTCCACATGGGTTCTAAAGATTGAACTCAGATTAAGCTTGGTTTCATGTATCTTTAACCAGCCGAGTTATTTCTACAGCCCTGAGTTTTGAACTCTTAGGAGGGCTCCTAGAAAAGGCTATTTAAGTTAGCACATCTCTCTCAAGTGTACAATAATGTTCTCTTAACTTGTGGTGCACTTTCACTTCAAGTTTTGGGCACATTACACAAGACTAAGGGATTCCCAGCACCCCTTACCATCACACAAGTTGAGCTTCTCTATCCGGAAATGCCATGCAATGCACCCAGAATTCATAGTCGAAGTCAGGATGGTACTCTGGCAGGGAGCTATTCAGGTGTTGATGTGGTCCCTTATCAACACTTTTACCTGTCCACCACACCACCTTGTCTATTGAAACTGCTTCTTCCAGCTGCAGAGTCTAGAGAGAAGGCTTTATTCAGCCTTCTGTGTGATCTGTCATTACCAGAGCAGTCAAGAGGTGAAGAGATGGACTAGCAGGTCTCTCCAGGAGCTGCTGCAGTCCTGTAAAGATAATGATCACCATATGAATAACCACAGACAAATGAACAGAGCAGATGTGTCAAGTGTCGACAGAATTGCATCATGTGGGTGGAGAAAAAGAAAAGTTGAGATTTTGGAGAAAAATGTTGGCCAAATATTGATTGGTCAGAGATGGGGAGGGAAACATGCTCATCCTAGGGCAGAACAAAGGGACAAAGCTGGAAGTGCCTGGGCTCTGTGAGATGACCACTCAGCTTTCCACCCAGGCATTCTGGAGAGATCAGGGCTTAGTCCTTTCTGGTTGGAGTATGAACAGAAGAAAGGTAGGAGAAGGATGGGTACAGAACGAGGCGCAGGATATCCCGTGAAGGCTTAGCTATCGCGCTACCTGGCTCACATTTATAAAGAGCACTGGGAATGTGGCAAGAAATAGACCATGATGTTGGCAAGGATGGGATGATGGCGAAAGTGTTCTGAGGTAGCAGGTAGGCAGCTGTTGTGCAGCTGGAGGTAGGAGGGAAGGATGAAGAGAAGGGCCACAGACATGCCAGGTTTCTCAAGACGGAGTATTTAACATTGGAAGTATTGAAGTGGGGAGATTGCTCAGTGGTTAAGGCACTTGCTAAGCAAGCATTAGACCCATAGACAGGATCTCCAGATGTCTGTAATTCCAGCCTCAGAGGGAAGAGACAGGGCATCACCAGAGCAAGCTGGCTAGCCTCAGACTAGACCTGTTGGCCAGCTTTGAGTTCAACTGCAAGACTCTGCTCCAATAGATAAAGTGGAAGAGATTTAAGCTGATTCCCAACATCAGTCTTGAACTTTCACATGTACATGAACACAGATGCATGGATTCTTATCCATGTGAACACACACACACACTGAAAAAAAATGGGGCAGTTTAATTTATCTACCCATTTCACTGGGAAAGAGTACTCCAGTCCTCACAAGACAGAAACCATCTTCTTTAGCCGTGGACCAGAATGCTTTTCCTTTGCATCTCAGTGAACTGTGTTGAGGTCATCAATAGTTCTCATATGCTGTAATACTGTAACCACAGGTATAGCATCTGTCTTGCTTCTGTTAGAGTCTCTGTGAGTGCCCAGTTTAAACGCAAGGTGAGGTCCAATGATTTCCCACTGAATGTCCACTCTATTTCCGTTCTTCACTCTTGCACTTCATGGCTGGCCCAGCCTGTGTACTGATGGGTTCTAAAGGCTGGTCCCTAATCAGCTCTGAATGCAGTGTGAATAAAAACTGAACTTTAGAACAACAAGACAAAGAAGAGTGAGAATCTAAAAATCCTCACCCTATCTTATTCCTGCCTTCTTCAAAAATGAAGGAGGGGACAGAGTGTGTTTCAAACCCACATGGCTTGCACAGTCCCCAGCATTCTCATCTGGCTCAGCGGAGGCCCGAGCACAATAATAACAGCCTATTAACTTTCAGAGGACATGGGATCAAACCAATAAAGAGTGGTTTATATTTTTCTATATGGTTACCTCCCCGCAAAAGCAGGGCCCTCATTAATGTAACAGCTGTCTTAATGTGGCTTTAACCCGGTGACTCTGTACATTCCTCATGGCTTCTTTAGCTCCCTTGAGACACATCAAGTCTTGCACCGGACTATGATCTACAGCCTAACAAATTCCCTAGAACAGCCAGCACATGGATCTTTTACTTAACCCAGCAGGAAAAAGAAGAGGGCAGTTAATCACTGATTAAAATGCCAGCCGAAAACACTGGGGTCCTTGGGAAGAGCTGGGAACGCGGTAGCTAAATCAACTCACTTTGAATGATAGCCAGAGAGTGTGAGTTACTTTAATTTGGGGGCACCTGGGAAAAACCAAACCTCAAACCCTCAAAGTCCAAACCATGTCTACATTCCACGTTTTACCCCTCGGAGGGAAAATATTTCCAGTCTCCTCTGGATGGAGATGAAACTAAAGCTATAATAACTTGGGCCTTTGTCAGTGTTGCGTAGAAATTTGTTTGGACGCTTGTGTTTCTCGCTGCCAAATCTGTGCGTGCAGCAAGCTAAGGCTCTCTCTTGTGCAGCAAAGCCTCCATCTAGAAATAATGTCAGAAGAAGAGGAAGAAGGAAAGAGAAATCAGAAAAAGAAAAGAGACAGAGACAGCCTAGCTGCTGAATTCATTGGGTAGCTGCAGTAAAGCAAATATTGGGATCATGAAGGTTTTATTGAAACAGAATTACTTGCAGATATTTATGGCATGCAAGCGTTTGAGTATTTCATCTCAGAATGAAGTAGGCAAGTTTCTTACTGTCAAGAGGAGAGAAGACACGAAGGACAGCTACCTGTGGAAACAGCACTTGGTCACACGACATAGGAGGTGCAGCTTTTGGTTGCAGTTTGCCAAGAATGTTTTGTTGAGCTTGGGTTAGTTTTTATCTATTTAAGTATGGGGCGATTATATCAGGTGATCTCAGTCTGGTTTCAAGGATCTCCAGGGTAATCATGGGTAGATTTCAGGAGATCTGGGCAACATAAAATGTGTATACACGTGAACATGTGTGCATGTGTGTGTGTGTGTGTGTGTGTGTGTGTCTGTGTGTGTCTGTGTGTGTATGCACATGTGTCTATCTGCACAAGTTTTAGCTAGGGACAGTGTCTCTGGTTTTCATATTTGTAAACACCAGCTCTTCTTTATCACCAAACTGAAAGCTACTAGGAGGACTTGGGGAGATGGCTCAGTGGTTATAAACACTTGGTACCCTTACAGAGGACCCTGGTGCAATTCTCAGCAACTACATGGCAACACATAGCCATCTGTAAAATTATTTGACCTAGCTCTACAGTTTAGAAGGTAGGATAGGTATAGAAAACCCGGACTCCAGAATGGAACGAAATGATGGTCACCTGCCACTCTCCAGTCCACCTTGCTCTTGATGTGTCAGGATGCAGATGACTGGGCTTGCATGTGTCCATGGACCTGTGACGCATGTGAGAACATGGCTGTCCTCCTCCTTTGCCTGCTCTCCCTCCACCCATAGCCTAAAGCTGGGGAGCAACAATGATGGGAGGGAGGCTGGGGAGAGCAGGGCAGTGGAAGAGGAAGGAGATGGGGATGAATGAGAGAGTCTGGAGGAACCAGCACTGAGTGCTGAGGTTAC